TGTTTGTCTTTTTGTGACTGAGTTACCTCACTCAGGATTGTTTCTTCTAGTTCCATCCACTTGCCTATGAATTTCAAAATTCCATTTTTTCCCACTGACTAATACACCATTGTCTAAATGTACTACATTTTCTCTATCCTCTTCAGTTGAAGGGCATGTAGGTTGATTCCAGGCTCTGGCTATTACAAATAATGCTGCTATGAACATGGTTGAACAAATATCCTTGCTGTACAAATGTGCCTTTTTTGGGAAGATGACTACCAGTACAATTGTTAGATATTGTGGTAGATTGATTCCCAGTTTCCTGAGGAACCACCATACTGATTTCCCAAGTGGCTGTACCAGTTGGCACTCCCACCAGCAGTGGAGGAGTGTTCCCCTTTCTCCACATCCTTTCCAGCATAAACTGTAACTGGTGTTTTTGATTTTAGCCATTCTGACAGGTGTAAGATGGTATTTCAGAGTTGTTTTGATTTGCATTTCCCTGATGCCTAAGGATGATGAACACTTTATGTCTCTTTCAGACATTTTACTTTATTGATTACTTTATTGATAATTCATTATTTAGTTTTGTACCCTACTTTTCAATTGGATTATTTGGTGTTTTGGTGACTAGCTTCTTGAAGTATTTGAAAAGTTTGGAAATAAGCCCTCTGTCAGATGTGGGGTTGGTGAAGATCTTTTCAGATTCTGTGGGCTGCCATTTGTCTTGTTGACTGTGCCCTTTGCCTTGCAAAAGCTTCTCAGTTTCAAGAGGTCCCATTTATTAATGGTCTATCTAAGTGTCTGTGCTACTGGTGTTATGTTGAGGAAGGAGTTTCCTGTATTAATATATTTGAGGGTACCACCTACCTTCTCTTCTATGAGGTTCACTATGGCTGGATTTATGTTGAGGTCTTTGATCATTTGGACTTAAGTTTTGTTAGTTGTGGAAATATCTGCAGTTTTCTACATGCCAGCATCCAGTAGTGCCAGAACCATTTGTTGAAGACTCTCTCTTTTTTCCATTGCATAATTTTAGCTTCTTTGTCAAAAATTAGGTGTTCCTAGGTGTGCGGGTTAATATAAGGGGTTTCAACTCAATTCCATTGGTCTATCTGTCTATTTTTGCAAATACCAAGCTGTTTTCAGGACTATAGCTCTGTAATAGACCTTGAAGTCAGGGATGGTGATTCCTCCGGAAGTTCTTTTATTGTACAGGGCTGTTTTAGCTAACCTGAGTATATTGTTTTTCTATTTAAAGATGAGAATTATTCTTTCAAGGTCTGTGAAGAATTGTGCAGGGATTTTTTTTTTTATTTTATTAGTTCTAGTTAGGGAACAAGCTTATTTCATGGGCTCTCAAAGTCCCTTCTTGCACCAGGGAAAAATACTAATCCACCACCAGAGGCTCCCTGGAGTACAGAGGCCTCCTTATTGAACTCCATGTTATGAGGTCTGGATCAGTCTTGTACTGGCCTCCCTGACAGCATCTGGGGTCGATGCGCTCTCCCTTGTTCAGGTCAACTGTTCCTGTGGGTTTCTCCAACCTGGTACAGACCCCTTCGTTCTTCATTCCTCCCTCTCTTCAACTAAATTCCCGATTTCCGCTCAGTGTATATCTGTGGATGTCTTTAATGGGGATTGCATTAAATCTGTTGTTGCTTTTGGCAAGATTGCCATTTTTATTATGTTGATCCTACCTATCCAAGAACATGGGAGATCTTTCCATTTTC